AGAGCCCCCTACATGGTGTGGGGCAGTGGGGATCACCCTCCCCTGCGTGGCAGCAGCCAATGAGTGCAGGCTTGCTTTTCTTTTCTTTTTTTTTTTTTTTAAGAGCCAGGAGCTGGGGCCAGGCAGGGCAGCCATTGAGAGTGGGCAGGGGATGGGGTCAATTTGGAGATTTGGCCAAATCAACAGCAGCTGAATCTCCAAAACAGATTCAGCTGAATCGATTCCAGACAGTGATTCGAATCACTGAATCAAATCACTGTCCTCCATATCGGCCAAATCCAAATCCGCATCGGAAGTGAATACTAGCCACTTCGCACATTACTACTGCAAACCCAGGGGCCCCAGTTGCTACTAAATGGATGGGCAATGCTCCCAGCAACCAGGCGGGATGCTTACTGTTCCTAAACTGGGGCAGAGTTGATTAGCTAAGGCTTACTGCAGGTGTGGCTGTCGAGTAGGGCGACTATATGGGATATAATGTGAAATCCTGAATGCTGACTGCCTGCCTGCCCCATCCCCCCCCTCCTCGCTGCTGCAGGCTGCAGACAGTCAGTGGCCCATTAATGACCCAATTGTTCTATTAACAATTAGTGTTAATAGGGCTTCTTATTTCATAGCTATTGCTGCTCTGTCTTCAAGTCCTGCACCCCCACCTGGGATGCTTGTTTTAATTTTTACTGGCTGGCTGGACATGCCTCCAAAATCCAGGACTGTCCCAGCCAATCTGGGACATATGGTCACCCTACTGTTGAGGCACTCACCCCAGGCTGGCCTGCCTGCCTGATCAGAGTCCCTGACAGAAACAGCTTTATTTTGTGACTGCATTAGGAAAACTGGTATTTCCTGATGTGTCCTGACCTAGAGTATCAAATGTGTTTGCTAATAGACTCTGTATTGCTGAACTTTCAACTTAGACCTATAAATGCACAGACACTTCTCATATGCAGGATCTACTTCATTCCTACATCTGGGCTTCATTCATTTTTTAATTTTAAATCACGTTAAGTATTTACAAGTGTTTTCAAGCAAACATCATTCTGAAAAATTTCCAAAATGGCAAAGCAACCAACATAAAAGCACATATCAAATAAATAATAAAAGTTTGCATGCAATCCTCCAGAAGCACAAATATTTTAAGCTTTTACCATTTTATGTATTTTTAATCAAGTTTAAATATATTTATATTCCCAGTGAAGTCAGTAGAACTACTGGGAGACTTATAATTAGCACTGTGAAAGTTTTTGCAGGATTAGAACTCCATCACGGACAGGTCAAGATTAGGCCACAGTTTACACCATTCATAAATATTTTATGAAGCATTAGTAATTGATTAATTAATTGATTAATAGATGTTATATACATGTTACAGACATGAGCGGTACACATGATAAATCCATCAGTCAAGCAACCTCCTAATCTGCTGGACCTCATAACTAATTTTCACCATTTATTAAAATGAATTATTACTAGTAGGCCTAGTAGTCCCAGTCACTGGCCAGGTCCCCACTGTGTTAGATTCTGTATAAACACAACACAGAAAATTGGCCTCTGCCTCACTGGCCTCTGCCACATGTTATACTTAAGGCATTACACTTAAGGCTGTCACAACCCAATTAAATTGTGCCCATGCCACTGAGCAAGAGATACCATTCAAATCATCCTCATTTTGACGATTAAGGGTTAAAAGGCATCCCTGCCAAAAATTCCTTGAAACAAAACGCGGCCGGAGTACTGTAGATAATTGGTCAGCTGAAATAAAATGCTAGGGGAAACTTTATATAATTGGTCCAAAAAAAATAAGCGTAAGCTCCTCACACGTAGCACACACGTAACAGGTAGAGAAACCTAATCCACTACCTTGTAACTTGAGGAGACAAAGAGCTGCTGCTTGCCAAAAAATTAAAGATTCCACA